CTTAAAAATTTTTTTAAAATGTTTAGCACTGTCTTACTGTAACACAAACATTGCAGGTTTTAAAATAGAATTGTCTCAAGTTAAACAGCATAATGCGGGGGAAGTGCTTGCAACATGCACACTGTCTTTACCCAGTTGAACATTTTTAAAAACTTTTTTTCACGTTTTCTTTTAAATTTCAATTTATCCAAAGTTTAACTCATACAAACCCAGTCACTGTTTTTGTGTGTAGCAAATGTATCATAGTGCAATACTTTTTAACTAAGCGTGTTTTGTTGACAATATGTTTATTAAAATGAAAAAAATATTCGTGTTTATTTGTAATTTAATTTATTGGAAAAAAATAGGGATGTGAAGAAAAATAAAGAATCATCATGATTAAAACTGAAGAGTGAAAATTGCAGTTGAAGTTTTATATTTTTATAAATTAATGAATTTATCTGGTCATTTGCCTCTGAAGGCCTTGCTGAGACTAAAATATCTGACCTTTTTAATTTTTGGATTTTGAAATTTTTCAGTAATCACCTTCAGCCTTGGACGGGGAAAAAGGGTCCCCCCCCCCCCCCCCCGTTATTTTTCTTGTGCTATTTATGTCAGTGTATCCTAACGACCTGTTGCAATTAACTACAACAGCATGCTAATGCCGATATATCCAATATCCGCTCCCAACCAATTAAGTGAACGACTCCAATACTGTCGTCACAGTCATTGCATCACTGTTCCTTCACAATCCCACAATGCACCATGTTTAATTTAGATTCCAGATTCAACACCAGCATATTATAATAGGACTATTTCACACCGATTCATGTAAGATAAAAATGCAAGTTTGCTTTAATACTGTCACGTACACATCTGTTTACCGTTTAAAATGCCCAATAAAAAATACTGTTTACACTATCAAAAAATAGCATGCGATATTAATATCAATCAAATACAATGCACTTTGTGAGTGCTGGTATATTTGTCTAATTGCGTTTTGTTTAAAAAAATAAGTGATGTATTATTTAAAATACAATACTGACACATTGTGGGCAAGACATATCGTTCTTCGTAAGTTTCACTATTTGATGAAACTAAATAGCATGCGATATTGACATCAATCAAATACTTTGTGAGTGCAGGTAGATTTGTCTATTGCGTTCTGAATAAAAAAAATAAGTGATGTATTATTTAAAATACATTACTGACACGTTGTGGGCAAGACATGTTGTACTTTGTACCGTTTAATTGATGATATTGTTTTAACGTAGTTAATAATAAAAATTATTAAATATTTCCCATCATAATTTCACTGTAAAACTAATATACTGGCTTCAATTTAAATGTAAAAACCCTACATTTTTTCACCCTTTCCCACAAATGTATGTTTGCATGTTTGCTTAATATTCACAATTTGAATAACATTAGCTATTTTTTATTCTAAGAAAATAGGAAGGTGGTGGTTACATCTGTAACAGAAGCCCTGTTTTTTCTTCTAAATATCCTTCAAAATAATGAAGGTTGGAAATTTTTTATTCATGACTACTGCTACCTGCATTATCCGAAGGTTTGCTAAATGCTTTAAATCATAAAAATTTCAATCAGCTAAATTGATAAATACCACCTTTAACGGTGGCCAAAAACCTCATAAAAAATGCTTGCTGAAACTGATACATTGGCCCTCTCCCAATTATAGAGGGCGCCAGACACTATTCCACTGGCCAGCAAAAACAATCATGGCAAGTAACTCTACACTGAATAATTAAGCCCGACTTAACAACACGTTCCTACAGTCACAGCAAGCACCTGATATAATTGTTATACTCCAAATTGCATAATCCAGATATCAGCCATTTTCCATTTTCTCACACACACAATCTGTTAACAATTCTGATATTCCTTGCACAAAATATAATGTGAAGCAATCACTTAAACTTATTTGAACCCTGTTTTGATATTAGACTTTTCTAAATACCCTGAAACTTTAAATGTAAAATTCTATTAAATTTGTTCACATGCAATCCTCCATGTATATATGTTTTCCTATGTCCATGCCATTCAAAATACGACAGGAAAATCAGAAGCAAAATTGATTTTAGTGGTTTTTAGGAAAAAGCACCTTGTAAAACACTCCAAGAACCATGGGAAAGTTAGAGGGCCCCCTGTAGCTCAGGGCAAGCCGCACTAGCCAGACTCTAGAAGTCCCTCTGCAAACATCTTCTGAAGTTCCTCAAAGAGTTTGGAGGAATCGGTGGCCCCTCGGTCGATCATTCGCTTCAGAGCGACAGCTTGGTCCTTGGAACCCCAGTAGTCTTCCTTCCAGAAATGGATACTGTCAACAACAACAACACAAACAGTAAACAACAATAAACTGTGAAGTCACATTTATGCTCAAGTCACCATCCATTCTTGATGTTATAAACATCCGCCAGTAAAGCCAATACCTGTATAAACCACACAGGATTCTCCTACTTGTAACCCAGATTTCAGTTTACCATTTCCTCTATACTTCCATTTTAGGAAGGCAATACGTTCACTGTATAGTATAACACCAGATGCCATACACGATAACAACTCCATGGGGTGTAGGGTTCCACGCTGGCAGTTGCAAAGAACGGTTTACATTCAAGCAATTTGGAGCTAAAATTCCGCCAGCAACATTTTGCTTATGTAGACATGGAGGATTATGAATGCAGTTGTTCAGGTTAGAGAGTTCACAATGTCTGGAATGTAGCCAGAGCAGTGGGGGACTCAGTGCCCCTAGTAAGAATGGAAAGTGCATCCTGCTAAAGATAACAGTACACTGTATCATGGTACATGTGCACATACACACTAGTATCAGGTGATATAATATCAAGGTTGAGCACAGTGTGTTATGGGGATTTCGGGGGGGGGGGGGGGGGGGACTTTAGAAAAATATTGCGTGGCATGGCTGCCTTGGTTGATTATTTAATAAGCAAAAGTCTTTTGTGTTTCACAATTTTTCATGAGTACCAGCTCGATAAAATGGTTTCCAAATCTAGTAACAACTGAACTGCCAACAGTGAAAACTGGTGCACAAATGAATATACGGTTTCACTGCTGGCCGAGTTACCCTGCTCTTGTCTCTATTCGCTCCGTTCACAAGTACCCCCTCACCGGCAAAGAAAGTACAGTTGGGGTTGACCGACCGACGCCATCTTGCGTCACACACAAGGAACGATGCGCGTCAACCAGCTAATTGTCCCGCCCATGGGACGTCGTTGCTAAGTAAAAGAGCGCCCTCTTTCATTGGCGCACGGAGCCCATATCCATTCAATTGCAGCCATCTCTGAGGTGCGCACTTTTGTACCACAGAGATACACATGGGTACAATATGCCTCAAATATGGCTGGCGAGTGCAAAGGGTCTATACTTACTCTTCACCCCTGGCTACTCCACTGATGTCCCCAAATGACACGGTAGGTTCTGGACACCCGACGTGGTTACCGTTAGCCATCGACGGGGGCAGGAGGGGGGCAGATGGGTCCCTCTCATGGGCTTGCTCTGCTTCAAGTCTCTCTACGATGCGGCCACAGAGGTAGCACTCAAATGCATTGATGAAGCTGGGTTTGCGCCATTCGTTCACACCCCATACCCGCTTGGCCATAGTGTCTCTAAGAAAAACAAGACAACAAAATCATTGTACACAGTAAGTTTTTCTTGAAGTGAACGACTTGAAAGGGGTAAGGGTAGTTGATTTGGGGAAAGGTGGCTAAAGCCCAAAAGCTTTTAAATGTACAGACCAGAGTTTGCGTCAAGTAAGTCAAATTAAAACTCATTTCTTGTGAGCTAATACACATCAGGTCATGCAACAGGTTAAAAAGGAAATGACTTTTCACTCCTCGTTTCATAAGCTTTTAAGCCGAACTGAAGTATATCATTTCATATAAAAGCTTCTGATTTAGACGAGTATTCTGATACTGCAAGATGGACTTTAATTAATACCTTAATAACTCATTATCAATTCCTTTGTCTTTAAATTCCAAATATCTCAGGTATTCCTTGTCATTCTTGTCCAGGCCTTTGATGAACTCTGCAAGCTTCTGTGGCGAATCAAAATTATCGGCCAAAATGAAGGAGTGATCGTTTGGCATCCAATCTTTGACGGACGGAGAGCCTCTGTAGATTGGCACCGATCCAACGTGAAGCGGACGGATCAATTTCTCCGTGATGTAGTCCTCGCAGATCCCATTTTCAAATGCAAGATGGAATTTGTACCTCGCGATGAAGTCATGGAATTCCTTGGCTTCCATAGATTCAACAGGATCTCGTAGACTTTCTGGAAGTTTTTTGTTGTTTAGGCACTTTCCATATGAATCCACGTCAATGTATTTCATCAATTCTTTTACGTAGCGGTCTCGGTCTGAAGGAACGTTACAGTGTGTCTGGATGTAAACAATGGGAGCCAGTTTCTCCCGATGCTGATTTTTCACATTAAGGGGGAACGGTTTGCGTTCAGTGAAATACTCCAGGTTATTGATGTGCTGAGTTGTGATTGGGTAATGTGACTCGCGTCGAAATGTTGACGTGTGGTTAAATTGCGACATCATCACGTCGTGAGAAAATATCTGATTGTTGAGCGGTGATTCCTCATGTAGCAGGGCCCACTCATGCCAGGGTTGTCGTGGCAACGGAGCTTCATACGCTCGGAAATCACTCCCATAAAACATCACGCCCCTCGCTAGGGGATCCGACAAAACGTTTTTATCTGTTGTAACAAGACAAGTTCCCAGTCCACCCTGATGTGGCTCACACTCAATCTTGACGGTATTTTGTCCTTGGAAATGGGGGAAAAGCTTGTCTGTCCACCAAACAATCGTCGGGAGCGGCAGCGCCTTTGAGTTGGGCTGTTTTAGTGAAGGCTTTGCTTTTGCAGGAAGATCATCTTTTGGTTTGGAAAGATCAATTTCATCCCCCTTTGCAAAATGACCCTTTAAGTTTGACGGCAAGATGCCACTGCTGAGCGTGTCGTAACCAATACCGATTGCACCGAGTAGAAAGTAAGTTCCCAAGAATATCGCCGTGAACAACAAACACAGGAAGAGAATGACATACTTCAATCGGAAGCCCGCTTTGCCTGAGGTCGACTGCTGCGATGGGAGCTGTTCTTGCACAGTTTTCGAAGTTGATCGGCCCCTTTGTCTCACCGATGGTTCCATGATTACTAAGTGATGTAAGGCACAATCAATAGATAGTGTACTGAGGCTACATTTAACTAATGATTGATGTCGTAATATATCCGACGCGCCAAATCATAACAACACTGACATCGCCACGTGTTGCGATACGGGATATTGCAGCGAATTTGGACTCCTCCGTAAAAAAAAATCAAAGGGCGCCCTCAATCGCTCAAGGCCATGCAATGCACGCGCTAGCCTCTAGCGCCCTAAATTAACAACAGGCACCTGCTGCAAATCTGACATTTCTGTGATGTTTGAAGTAGTTCCATCAAAGAAGAGCCATAACACAGATGCGCGCGACAATATCTCTCTTTCTCGAATTCCCATCTCCAATATTCGTCCCGTTACTTCTCACGCACGCAAAAAAGTGGACCTGCTAAAATATAAGGGCGCCCTCAATTTTCAGATTGTCCAGCTTTTACATGTAACTTAACATAGGCCTAAATAAAGCTCATTTCTTGAATATGATAGCATTTTCATAAAATTACAGTTTAGCATATCTGAAATAGTAGTTTTTCATGGTTGTCTTAGAGATCTTAAACTTGCGAACTGCTTTACTTTTACCCCCACTGCGGTGCAGCAAGCATATTGTGCAACTGCAAGTGACGAGTATGCATGTAACTGTCATGCATACAGTTGCCTTTCGACGCTTTGATTGCATTTATTGTGCAAGCATTTTGTTTAAGTTATCTAGTAATTAGTTGTTATCATTTCGGTTTGCGGTAACACCATGTGGTATTATAATAACTACTGCTTAGAAGATATTAGTTCTGAAAAGAACTTGTCAAGCTTATTATCAACTTTGCTAAGTAGTTTTTTTGTTCTGATAAGAACAGTCCTGCTGTAAGTTCTAAACGAACTTGTCTTGTTAGTTGTTGTTACTTCTTATTAGTTGTTGCGGGTTTTCTGCTGGCTTTCAAAGTTTTCAAAAATAACACCCCGCCCCTTTTCCCGGCCTCAGCGCTGCAGCATGCAGGTGCGGCAGGGCGGTACGAGGGGTGCGCGCGGAACTTGTCATCTCCCAGCCAACCGCGCATTGCATTGTGGTCGTACAGGACTCCACATTCCGCCATCTTGTTTCGGGTCTGTGTACATTGCAGTATGACTTGCTAGGCTGCGATAAAAACGTCGTGGTTCTTTCCTCTCTCGAACGTCTTCCAACAATTATCAGCAATGATTCTTGCCGAGTACCTTCCCGGTGGGTAGCCGTGGGTGTCCTAGAAGTCTGAAACGGTCGATTTGGGTCATTTTGCAGCCGGCGAACTCGCGGTGTCAACTTCGCACGACATTGTTCGTTTTGTTGTGGAGTTCGTGACCTAGCCGGGGCAACGGGGACTTAACCGCCCGGGAATGCAGCTGCTTCGCGCCGGTCGATTTCAGCTCCGTGGTCGATAAAATAAACCCCGTTAGCAACATTTTTTGAATTCTTCACACTTTCCAAACAAGTTGAGGGAAACTTTCTGATCCTCTGGGAATCATTTGGCAAACATTTTGTGCAGCAAGAACCCCGTTTTTTTAGAGGCAAATTTTACAAAATTTTGTCATTTTTGGTTCGAGTGGAGAATGAAGGTGGAGTTGCTACGGTGTTGCTGGTAAAACAACGGTCATGAAAGGCCACATCATGGCGGGAAAGAAAACAAGAAACAGAAATATTCTGACCCTGGACAAAATGGAAATGTAAGTTACAACTTTATTTGACATTTTTGATGTGTTCTGTTTTACATTTGCACGATTTGTTAATCATCAAGTGTAATTTCCAGGTTTCTTTTCTATGTGTTTCTCTGTTTGGGTAAAAGTGTTGCAACCTGACGCCACTTTTTTCTTCATACATCATCTCATTGAATGTCAATCATTGCAAAAATGATGATAAGACACGAATCTGGGACTGAGAAACATTTGCAATTTAACATTTTCTTGACTCCATAGACTTTGTACACCATCACGGAAGTGGTGCCAGGTTGCAACATTTTTTTTCCATCTTTTTTTCTTCAGTTGTGTACTGATCATGCTGATGTTGAATATTTAGCCTTCTGCCTTTAATAGAAACATGACATAGCCTAGTTCTATTATAACAACTTTCTGTTATTTTTTTACACTAAAAATAAAATGAAGTGGAAAAGTTGTCGGAAAAAATGTTGCAACCTGACGCTGCTTTTTCTTCATATATCATTTCAATGAAAGTCATTCATTGCAGAAATGATGATAAGGCATGAATCTGGGACTGAGAAACATTTCCAATTTTATTAGGAAATACTTTCTTGACTCTCCATAGACTTTGTACACAATTGCGGAAATGGCTTCAGGTTGCAACATCTTTTCCAAGTTGTTTTGCATTACGCCTATTTGTTGAGTTTGTTTACAAATTGTTTGTTCTGCTTCAGGTTTCCAGTTTTGCTTCCTTTATAATAAGATTGTTTTCGTTGCCTATGATTTAATGTAACCCCTTCCTTATGTTGTATTTAATGTTTTCAGTTTATTATTTTTTTCTGGAAAAAACAAAGTTTGCCTAGTTTTAAAGGTTGCCCGAATAGAGAGCAATACAGTCGTTTCTCAAGTTTCGTATTGCAAACATTATTCAGTCTGCTTTCAGCTCAACCAATCTAAGGATTCAAGTCACATTAATTTAATTGTTTACCTTGAGTGTGGGAGATACTCCAACCAATTTTTTTTTTGATTTAAGAGCTCTCTTTTAATTTTGAATATGCGACGTCAAAAGTACCAATGCCACTTTTCCTAGTTCTGGATCGGTTTAATTCAATTCCGGATCTGATCAAAAACTACTTCGCGTGAAAAAGAATTGGAACTAGGAAAGCAACTGTACAACCATCTAAAACCCTGCCGAGTACATAGTTATAAATTGTTTGGGTGTAAGTAGAAGTCCTTTTGTGTGGTAATTGCTAAATCATTATCAATTCAAACCCAGGGATTATTGAATGTGTCAGTATGAATTATTGAAAAGCAGTCACAGACGCTTTTTCATGGTTTTTAGTCTCAATTATGTGCCCTATTATTCCACACCTCAATTTTGGACACAAACGAAAACAACTTAACAGCAATTGATTATATTGATCTTTGGGGATAGTTTCTAGGTACCCAGATGTTTGTAACTTTGTAGGTGGTGCTACAGAATTAGGGTTTCTGATTAACCCTAAGTCCCTAACGGTAATGTGTATAGATCTTACTTGTGGATATAAACTGGGGGATTTTTTGGTCGGATTGGGATGATTTAGGTAGTGAACAAAATATTTTTTGTTCAGTTGTTGGAATCTGTTGGATACTTCATGTTTATGCCTCACAATGTGGTTGCTGTGTGATATTGTTGGGTTCAGTGAGTGTATAGGAACATTTTAGTATTGTACGTTATTATCTTTAACCCCATTGTGCAGATTTAATTACATAGTTGCACTTTCTTAATCTCAACCGAGATATGACACCCAGTTTCCCAACTAAAGAATGCAACTTCAGGTCTCTATTGAGAGTCCACTGAGTGCAAACATCTCAAAATTGTTTTCTTTTCTGTAATTATTTGTCACTTCTTGGCTATAAATTACCAGTCCTCCAAGCAAAAATCAAAGTTCAATTGAATTTCAAAGTGATCATTATTGTCCACGGAATTTGAAATCTGGTCATTTTTTTTCTCCAGTGAGTGTAAACTCCCTGGGAGACCAACACAGAGGTCAGCCGGCATCTGTTACTATAAATAAACACCACAGAAACAAATAGGTTCACATTTCTTTCATTTTACTACATTGTAATTTATGAAGTGCTTTAAAGTATCTTTAATATGTAATTTCCATTGTGACTACAAATGCACTTCCACATTTTATGTCCATGTTCAAATTGAAATGCAGTCAATTCATGTCTTTTATTACTTTTTTATTTCTTTAATTATGTACATAGGGGTGATTCGGTGGAGATATTTACAGACTCAGTGCAGACATTGAAAGAACTGCCCATTATCACATAGAAAATTTTTTGACACCGAATGCAGGGGACTAGATTAATATGTTGACTCTGTGCATTATTTTGTGTATATTTATCAAACCTTGGCAACTATCATCGCAGATTGATAACAGCAACCGCACAAAGAAAATACAGTAGCTAAAAAAAAAACCAGCAAATGTTAAACCGCACAATCAAATTGCATAAAAGGCCTGATTGTGTGCTTGCTTTGTTCTTTATCATAAGTCGGTACTAACGTGCGCACAGTTCACCGTTCTGAATAGCAGGTGTACAGTATTAACAATAATACAACTCCATTATTTGTTGACATAGGTTTTCAAGCTGCTGTGATATTCAGTTATTGCTAGACATTTGGAGCCAGCACAACAACCTACGGAAATCAATATTTAACTAACTTCCACTTCTGTGCTGCCCACGTCCACTCGTTGAGTAGTCAGCTTTTTAAAGAAACAAAACTGATTCTGTGGTAACTGTGTTGATTTGGTATTAAAAAAATGTAGGAAATTTGAGAAGTGACCTTTTCGGAATTTTTCAATTTTCTGACATGCCCGTTCACATGGTTGACACTTCTTGCTCTGGTAGTGGTTGCATTGATGAAATTTTCTTCTAAAATGTGCTCCTTAATTTTTACCCATTAAGTTCTGGGATTTAAGGCAATTTTTCAGTCAAATCAAATACTTTTAGTTTAGGCCCCTAATGTTATATTTTCGGGAACTGGTATTGCCCTGTTGTACTTTTTGGCACTGGGGGAGCTAGGCCTAATCCTGTTTAATTAAAATTTGTTGAGAAAACTAGCTTTTCCTTAGCAGTATTCATCTAGATAACAACTCACCCAATGTTCTTTTGTGGTAGCCTTCATTTTTGATTGATATCTCACTCTTTAGCTACATGGGTAAACTGGTACCCTTTTCTAAAGGAAAGTTCAAAGTGAGTTCAAAAGTCTGGAACCTGTGTTTTGTTTTTCTTTTGAACGGCCGTCATTCTTTTCCCCCCTCCTTTTTATTTAACAAGGCCTTTGCAAATCTTGGACCTAATCTGCTGTTTGTTGTTGGTTGCCTAGTAACCATAGTACTAGATAAATACAAGGTATTACTGTTGCCTAGAGACTGTAACACAAGATATATGTGATCCAACTTGAAAAATGACAAGATGAGAATAGTCAATTTTTGCGCTCTTTTGTTGAAATCTTTTTTCGTGTGAAACTACAAATAATACAATAAAGGGCAATCAAAAGGTATTATTTCATGGTACAGCTATAAGAGTGTATAGGCTAATGCAGGGATCAGGAAGTTGTTAACCATGCAGATTTTTAAAAGTACGGTAACATGGAATGCTAAAGGTGTTGTTACTGGGTAATTATTTTGGAGGCATTGAACTTGTGAAGGATGTGAAAAAAATTTGGTTGACATGCAAAAAAAACACCTAAATTTGACACATGAAAAGCAGACCGAGAATTATATGAAATTGAGAAGAGCAAGAACCTGATGATATTATGTGAAGAAAGCTTTAAATTGTCCGTTATCTTTTTATTTCTCTCTAGAGTGTCAAACTCTGTAATTCTTTTTCAGTTTTTGAAACCATCATCTTTATAGCACTAGGCTACATGTCAGATTGCTCCTCTAGTCCCGTCCATCATTTTCTCCTGTAGTCCACTGAGGACATTGTTTGTAAAAGAGGGCGGATGCCATGGCTGCCCTAACTGGAAAGCAAAGACACCTGTCTTGTCGTCGGCTTGTTTGACCAGGGCGGATACTGCATCCTGCCTGCCTCATACGATGCTGTGTATCTAAACCATTCAACACTGACACTAGGGTTCTATTTATGCACATGAACAAAACTAGGCCGGAGATGACTAGTACAGAATTACATTCATTTTGTATATAAAGCCTCAGGGAAACTGGTAATTTAAATTTATTTTCAGAAATTTTGGTAACGGGTTTTAACTGCATGTTTTTAACCCTTACCCCTGAGGGTTCCTCAGGACTACCCTGCTTAATCTAGCAGAGTCCAACGTTGACTTCCTGCTCAATCCAACAGAATCCAACTCTGCCTAATTTTTAGTTGTCTGCTGGATCCAACAGAGTCCAACTTGCCGTTTTGGTTTTACTGCATGGAAATCAGCATGTGCAGTGTACATTTGTAGATGAGATTTGAAAGCCATAATGGCACGGTCTTTTGCCTTGTTAGCCTTTTGACTTCATTTGTTGGGTTGGTGCCTCATTATTTCCCAGGTCTATTGGGACCAATTGGTTGGGCAGTCATTATCACATCGGTGATGAAGATTGCTTCAGCACTGGCCACAATGCCTCATGCCACCTAAGGTATGTTTGCTTTCAGAATCCTAACAGTAGCGTGGTCATGTGAAACGGCCACCTGAATGCTTTTATGTGATGGTCGGGAGAAGGCAACAATTTTTTTTGCTCAGAACTGTGAATTATGTGCATGGGTGTACCATTTAGCCTTAGGGCTTTCCATTTGTATTTTCTGCTGTTGGTGTTTGATTGTATTTAGCCAAATCAAATTACAAAACTTAGAATTTGATCCTTCGAACATTGAAAATGTTGCTTTGTTTTCAGGGTCACTATTGAAATAATGTTGAGGCCTACAGATGTTCTCAGTCATGTCTATATTGGGACTAACTTGAGGACATGGTAAAATATCAGATACAAAGTGGTTTAGGAAGGGAAAGTTCTTTCATTAGGTGTTGAAATTTA